GCGAGAGGTGACAAGAGCATGGGTGACTGTGCGCAAGGCATCCCGGTCCAGAAAAGGCCGCAACTGGTGCACCAGGCGTACCCGGTAAAACGCCCCCCTGGCCACAGCCGTCAACTGGTCTTCCAGTGTCAGCCGTGGATCCAGGAGGGTTATTTTGGGTTATTCCACATACAAACAGTGAATGAGAATGCATTTGTTTTGCTTTTCAGTCACATTAAAAATTAATGTTAATTCCATAAGAACAAACAGTTTTAAAGAAAAGTACAAACAAAATTAGAACCAATTAGGATCCTTTATGCATGAGACAACATTCACAATGGTTATTTCTCTAACTGAAATTATGGACCGAGCCCATAACCAATTACTATTAATCCATCAATAACAGTTTGAAATCATAACAGGAAGAATTATTCCCTAACTACATATTTCTCACCTTATCAGGGAGATGGGTGGTATATAAATTTAATAAATAAATTGATCTGAAATAATTACCACCATTGTTCTATGGTCAAGTTCATTAGGGTACTGTTGAGTAATACAGTGAAATAATTCTTTTTAACCCTAATAACCCATGATTTACATATGGATCTAGAAGCAAAGTTACAGTCCTACACTCAGTTATTTGGAAGGAAGCCATATAGATTTCAATAGGACATAATAATGTGTAGAATAGATATTGGTTTCATTCCCAAATGTGTGCATAGGCTTCTCTATTAAGATGAAGTTACCACACAAAATCTCCTTGTTGTAACTGTACTTGGTCAAAGTTAAATAAGACATTCAAATCTTGCTAAATCAGAGGTCGAAACAAATCTTATTTTCAGATTTGGAAATCAATTGTAATGAGGAATTTTACTATGACAAACAGGTACAAAACATTACACTTCTTGCTGTTGGCAAAAACACTGGTTTTAAATCAGAATACTAAAATTTCCTAATTTAAGGAATTCATAACTTTTTAAAAACCAAACTCATTAAACTGTTTTTCTAATAAACAAGGCGCCATGCACAGTATTGACTTTTGGATTTTTTTAAGAATACAAAACAATGCAACAACCTTCTTTGACAATTACTTTGCCGAGTTGAATTATGCTTTATCTGTTCCACCATACTGTTTCTAACAATAAGCTAGTACCGTTAGCATGAAACTAAGTCATTTGACTCTCCTGTCGTATTTGGATAGGCAAACTGTCAGCCCTTCAAGACAGGCAACATAAAAGTTGGAAGGGAGAGGCAACTACTCCTTACAAAACAGTCATGCATGTAGTTGTCCACATAGAGAAATCCATGAAGATACTGCCAAATACAGCATTGCAATTATTAGCCATTGATCTCAGCTACTTTTTGAAAAACAGAAACTTGGCCCCATCCCTAAGTAGAAATCCTTGCCTGAAAAGTTAGTCAACAATTTCTTCCTGCACAATTACGTACATGGTATTTATAGGAAGGAACTTATAAGTTTGTTTTTGGATTCACTTCCAGTTCCTGTGGATTGGTCAACACATGGCTCATACTTGTGTTGGATGTGATCCTTTCAATATGTAAGGAAGCTGAAATTTCTGATAGGCAATACACACCCATTCCGTTCATGATCCTCTCATCCAAGCTATCCCTTCCAGATATGAATGTAATACACTAATACTACAGTAGTGAGAGGTACCTTCCATTCCTAGGAGATGCTGAGTAACCAAGAAATGCAAAAACTATAGATTGTAAATCACACGTCTATCAGTAAATCAGCCAGCTTGCTTGCCTGCCTTTGTTTCACACAACTGCTGACTGGATATTTTCATAATGGCTAATATGCCACTGACTGTTTAGCCATAGTTGATAACAAATAGCAATTGTATCATTATATAATCTCATGTCAGTTCTAAAACAATTCAAGGAAGGGTTATACTGCATTCAGTAATGAAACAAGAAGAAACAATTCATGATACCACTGATAATATCTGTCAATCGCTTTAACCTTTGATATTTGTTTGAAATTAATTTCTAAATGTGCCACACATGAGCATGAACTTGGCAGAAAGGAGGGGCAGCCTTCAGGCAAGGAAGAGCTGTCTATCACATCTTCAGGAAGCAGATGAAAATGTACAAATGCAGAAGTGGAAGATGTTTTAGTGCTATGTAGAGAGTTGGGGACGCAACACTGGAAAAAAATCAAGGGTATCCCAACTATACTGAACCTGCTTGTGTCTTGCGTTTGCTTTTTAAAAACTGGAGCGCACTTCAGCATTGAGAATGCTGAGGCTGCTAAAGTCCTCTTAGCACTTCCTTCTCATTGGAAGCCAGTCTGAACAAAAACTTCATAGGCCTCCTCATCTCTTGAGGTGTTTGGGAGAGAAGTTGCAATGTCTTTGGCCCACATTTAAGTCCTAGTGGAGCTACTGATGTGCTCACTTCCAAGTAGAAAGGAACCAACCTATGTTCTCCTGACTTCTGCTTCACTTTGTCATATTTTCTTTCTTTATTCATCGCCAGTTGAGCATACCCCTTGCACTATTCCATCCCAGGATGCCCTTTGACTTTCTTATCTCTTCTATAGTGAGAAAATGTTGATTTTTCTCAGGCCACCATTCTGGAGTGTGGAGACACAAATAGAAGCAGCAGAACTTCTTCACTTTCTCTCATGTCTCCTGGTGATGTGGCTGATTTTGACTACAGGGTGTTCGGGTTTAGAGAGGCTAGGAGTAGGAGATGATTTTAGATGAAAAGGATGGAGAGGAAATGGAGCTAGTGTCAACAAGTGACCACAGTCTTGTAGTGGTTGGAGATTTCAGCAGTATTGGAACCAGTGAGTTCACTCTGACTTGGCCAAAGCCAACAGATTCACAGGCTCTCTTATCCACTCCCACTGACAGTAACTCAAAAGTTCAGGAACTGAGCAGCGGCATGTAATGAACATCTAAGACCAGAGGGGTAAATTTCCCAGATCTGAGAGGCTACCCAAAAGGCATGTAAGTGCTAATGGGACAGCAGACTCTGCAGCTCCAATTTGATGGATCTCAGCAATGCACTTATAAATTTGTTTATTGCATTCTTTCTCTTTGAACAGTGCTAAAGAAAAGCTGCTGGTGAATATTCTACATGATTTTGTGTTGGTCTTTGGATTTCCTCTGGCATCCTTTGTATCTCCCTTGAATATATTGCCTGATTGATAGTTTACTAGTCTTGATCCCTGCTGGCCTATTGGATGGATGAGTGCAGTCTATCTTCAAAGATACTGCAGAAGGACTTTTTCCAAAGGCTATTTTATTCCATCTAGCTGTGATAGACCCTGAGCTTGCTCACCTCTGACCTGTGGCTGATTTATAGATTACTAATTTGCTTCCTGGCAGCCACCTGTGCTGGCACAGAAAACTCAAAAATCTGGACTGCAGGATATGTCTTCTATTCCTGAAATTATTATGGTACTCCATCAGGAGTTTAAGGGCACCAGTTGGCTTGGTGGCCCAACTCAGAACAGGGGCCTGGTGATGGGGGGTGGGGTGGGAGTAGGTAGCAGGCACGTACCACAAGGTTCCCTACAGAGTTGCACTCATGAAATATTACAATTTTAGGCTCTCTTTCCTTCTGAATTTACTTGGATTTGCTGTTAAAATTGATTTAATGTTATTTCAAACATTTTTACTGAATGATAATAATCCCAAATGTGGCACAAGAATGATGTAAATATCCTTGCTTGTGGAGAGCTAGAACTGCCAGGTATAAACTTTTAATAATCTGGTAAAAGCAAAAAATTATCTACAGCCTTAGCTCCTAACTGACCAATTATCATTCAGAAAATCTCAAATTATGAGGTCCAAAAGCTGTGCATGGCCACACATTCAAGGATTACTGAGGTCTGTAGTGGAACCTAAAATTTACACAATAACCCTGTTATTTTGCTCAGTTTGTGGTCGGTACTGTTTTTTTTAATCACTTAAGGGAGTCAAATATTCTCTAAATCAGATAATTTCTCAGTTATGTAAATGAAAACTGAGAAATTAAATCTTAGAGTGGAACCATTTCCCCCAGTTTGATTCTTACCAGATATGGTGGCCAAATTATGCTGGGAGTATATTATACTGCTAATATTCATGGGGAGTCAAAGGCTGGAATTGAATGTTGTAATCCTCATTACCAGGTTTAAGTGTTTTAAGAAAAATGCAATAATATTTCTTAAGATCTCTTTAAGATTCTACTGATACCACCAAAAACATACTATCTACCATGAGCCAGCAGTGTGCAGCAGAGCCAAAAAAGCTAATACAATCCTCGGTTGTATAAATAGAGGCATAGAATCAA